TATTACAAATAATAAAGAAATATAAATAAAGGATCGTATCATAAACAGTCAAAGTCAATTGATTTTATTGACATCGAAGCAACCATTGGAACTCGCTTGGAAATATCATAAAATTCTATACGAATAGATTGAAATTATATCACTGAACTGTTGATAATTTGTCATCATTGTTAATCACAAAAACAAGAAATGTAGAACGTAATATTTATCGGATAACAAATTGAACACTTTCCTAAACAAAACCTTTTTAAAGAAAAACGTTGAGGAAATAGTTTGTATGATTTCTTTGCGTCATATGAGAATCATTAACGAGTTCGGAAATTAGTTAAGAAAGTACCAGTGTCGCAAAAACTCTTCGCTATTAACAAACCTGGAGATGTCCTTCAACTGGAAACGAGTGCGACATCCTGAAGTCTTTCCATAGGTCCTTTTGATCCTGGTCAGATTCCTCTACTAAAAGAAGAATGACGTTCCGCGGGCTGGAAACCGCGACAGTGGTCTGTTTCGCAGAGTTGGTTGTAGCGTCCTTAACGGTTTTCGTGAAGCGGTTGTCGTCCTGGACGACTTCCGGAACATAATCTCTTTTGTCGCGTTCGATATCTCGGGAAATATTCTGTTCGGTGGATTGCGTCGTCTTCCTCGCGTCGGTGGCCTGCGAGACCTTGTCGAAAGTTGTCACCTGCGTGTTTCCACTCAGAGAGTGATCAACGGTGACTTTTTGTTCAGTTTCCAGAAGCGGTACAATGTTCCAACCGGTGGGGACATTCGCTGCGACCAAACAACGCAACGTGTCAAACTACGATGGCGAGACGAAACGTTTTCTTCCGATATCACTTCGCGAAGCAAATGTTTTTCCTCTTTTAATAATTATAATAAGATGAAAATAATTAACAGTATCGTTAAATTTGTCTAGTATCTTCACAGCTTTGTACTTGAGCATCATTTATCATTTTTGACACAAGTGCGAGAAATATTAATAAAGCTACTAACTTTGTTTGCCAAATTCTGTAATAAATCGTTAGTTCAGTATCGTTAAATTTGTCTAGTATCTTCACAGATTTGTATTTGACCTATTCACTTTCGACACAAGTGCGAGAAATATTAATAAAGCTACTAAATTTGTTTACCAAATTCTGTAATAAATAATTCCAGTGTTCCTTTCTTAAATTAATCGATAACAGTCCGAATTGATAACAGTCGAAAATATCTTAAATTCGACTCGTGCGAATTGTCATTAGTTCGGTTACTTTGCTTTCGTAGGATTTCTTCGGATTCTAATAATTCTTTTCGTAATTCAATCTCATATTTATAAAATAGATTTTCCGAACAACTATGTTACTGCTTGGAGGAGAATATGCTAAAGTTTTCGGAAGTTCTACCTGAACGATCGGCGGTGAATGCCGAACACGGCAGCAATATCACCAGAACCGCGACGAGCAATGCCACCGTCGAGGCAACGTGCATCATCTTCCCTTCTGTAACAGAAATATATAGTGCAGATATTAATATAGAAAAAACTGTAACTCTTTGCACGCGGTAGGTCGATTTAACTGAACGTTTTACCATACCTTCGCGAAGGTCCGTGTAGTATTTCTAATCTTCCGATATCACGAAATTCCGTCGACTCGAGATCGTGAAACGTGTTTCAAATTAAATCACAATTAACTGCAGGCAATCACCGCGTCTATTCGGTTACCTCGATCACAGGACAACTAATTGATAGCTTCACAATCAACAAAACGCCGTTGTCGAGCGAACAAAAAGAAGGATGCTGAACTTGTTTTTCCAACGACACTTGTGCCTGCTCTTCTACAGTAAGCTCTTGTTTCATGAAAATTCGTGCCTCCGTCTATAAATCTCCAATAGTTTTGCAAGAAAGTTAAGTGTATGTTACATGAAATTAAAATGTTTTCTATAAAATGCAATTCTGTTCACCAAGATTAACAGAGCGATGTCAAAACAACAAACATTTGTAAGCTTCCTGGCAATTAACTTGTACTCGGTGAACATTCAAAATTCTCAACAACAAATAAAGAACTCGATTAACTATACTGATCTACTCTCTTTTACACAGAGGATAATATCGTATCGAAATTATTTTTTAAATTAATTGTCACGCTCTTTAAATTCAGTATTTGCCAAATATCTTTGCGCTTGCAATTGGCTGGCACCTGATTATTCAAAATTAAGCAACGTTAAGTCAATTGGAATGAATTTTCAAGGTTTTCAAAGTATAAAGGCTGCTGTCTTTATGAAGTTAAATATATGTAAATGCGAAAGTAAAAATATGTAGATTAATAATGTAGATAATGATACTTAAACAATTTTACATTTGCAATTGTGGAGTAAGGATATGGATCAACGAAACAGGGAAGAAAAGATTAGAGACTTTATCGATTTTTCTTGTATTTTTACAGAAACACGTGCAATTTGGTAAGAAAAATGTATAAATGCTGATTCGTTTAATATGCAGCCGCATTCGAACGCAGACAAGAGATGAAAGGAACAATGCGATATTATTTACAGTGCTTTCGAAACCTATAGTTCTAACTTTCATATACTTCAAATGATGCTTGGTGTAAGCGAACGCGTGTTCAGTGGCTTATAGGCGCTGCAAACAGTGCATTTTCTGCACAGACATAAACCGTTTCCTCTGCAAGCTGCGAGGGATAATCGAAGGTTCGACGGTTCAAAGACAACGCTCGAGGAAAACGAAACGAAAGACGCTGTTCCGTGTTCTTTGTGCAACAAACGAACGAAGAACTTTGTAAACGGGTGTTTTAATGAATCATAGAACAACTGCCTAGATTCTTCTGCGATTCATTTGAATAGTGTCAAGGTGATTTGGAGGTAAACTGGATAATAAGCATCTATGTGTCCGTATCTATAACGTGACCCAGATGTCCGTTCTTCTTCACGTATCTTTTCAACTTCGTGAACCGTGTACTTACGATACCACAGAAAACAATATGAACTCTTTTATATCAAACAGAGACAACGTACTCTCTACTTGCATTTCGTTCGAACGAAAAGTATCGTAGTTGCAATTGGAACTGGAAATTCAATTCCCACAGTTTCTGTTCTATAAATTGTCGTTTCATCAGGACGCAACCAATTAGTTAGTAGTTACTGAAGATAAGAATTAAAATACATAAATAAAGACACAGAATCTTTTATTTATTAATGCCTATAAAATTTCTCAGCGATATAATGATTATTATTTCAATTCGACTTTGTAAAACTTGCTCCGAATTGCTGGTAGATACATCAGTAACATCTTTCGAGTGCTGAGGCTTAATCGCGAGAATGTCGATCTAAAAAATTCAAATTTAGCATGTATGTAAGTTACCGGGATCTACAAAACGCATTTTTTAAATCTTCGTTATAAGCTCAGATAAAAAAGTTAAAATATGAGAGCTTTTTATTTTCCTTTGTCATTCTAAGCAATAGCAAAATTTTAAAAAACGCATTCTAGTTATGATTCAGTAAACCGGTCCCTCTATCATCTGAAAAAAGTTCAAGTCGTTTAATCCAGTTCTAAAAAAGTTATTACGTTTTAAAAGATGTCCTAATGTTGATGGAAGTTACTGTATAAATGAGAAGAATGAAATCAAGCGATTGTTCTTAATAATAAGTTTATAATGTTAAAAGATAAAATGATTGGTTAAAGACCAAGAGTTACTAAAATTGTTATAGATACATCGTATATAATAGCACGAGTCACATCGTAAGCTAATTAAATAGTAAACGTTTAATCTGTTCGACATTATATTTTTTAGCAAGACTTTGAAAATTTTCTTAAAGATTTGCAGCGGCGCTGACGTAGATACGTACGGAAGGGTAAAGGTAACAGCATTTTGATGAATGAAAAAGCATGGCCTGTTTATAATATAATAATGCACAATACTTTACACACCATGAAACTTACGCTCGATGACAAGTTTACACAGAATGCGTAACGTTTAAGTGGGTTTGCCGTAGCTTATCGGTGACCTACGAGTTCGAAGTTTGCTACATTGCGCAGCAAACGTAATGGAGAATTGTGTAGACCGTTATCAATATGCGCGTATACATAATCATTTATTTAAGCCGGTAATCTTTACGCTGTCACGAGACGCTAATGGTGATTTATCAACCTGCTTCAAAGGTAACCACCCAAAACGCAATCGTAACAAATAAATCGTAAAATAACCATTTATTACTGCGAGCTCTGCCAATAAAAATGATCTATCGAACATGTGTATTTCATTAACCTCTTGTACCATGACTTCTTTCACAGCTACATTGATTAGCACTTCTTCGTCCTTAACCGTTTGAGTCCCGAGCAGCGCGATCGCGCTGTTCAGATTTTGTGTCGCGTCAAACTTTAATGACGCGCGTACTGCGTCATGAAATAACCATTATACTGCGAGCTCTGCCAATAAAAATGATCTATCGAACATGTGTATTTCATTAACCCCTTGTACCATGACTTCTTTCACAGCTACATTGATTAGCACTTCTTCGTCCTTAACCGTTTGAGTCCCGAGCAGCGCGATCGCGCTGTTCAGATTTTGTGTCGCGTCAAACTTTAGTGACGCGCGTACCTGTCTCTTATACACATCTAGATGTGTATAAGAGACAGGTACGCGCGTCACTAAAGTTTGACGCGACACAAAATCTGAACAGCGCGATCGCGCTGTTCAGATTTTGTGTCGCGTCAAACTTTAGTGACGCGCGTACCTGTCTCTTATACACATCTAGATGTGTATAAGAGACAGGTACGCGCGTCACTAAAGTTTGACGCGACACAAAATCTGAACAGCGCGATCGCGCTGTTCAGATTTTGTGTCGCGTCAAACTTTAGTGACGCGCGTACATCGCACAGCTGTTTTTTTATTTTCTTTCTTTTACTGTTTGTTTTGTTTGTCAATCTTGACGAGCGCTATCGCGACGCTTGGTTCTCTTCGCAATCAATTAAGACAAGCGCTGTCACGCTGTTCGGCACTTTTCGGCCGTATTTTCTGAATAACCCCTGAGAGTCAAACGATTAAGCAACCCAAGGTGGTCGTTCTAGGATTAAAAAACGCGGTCCCACATTTCCAGTTGCGTTGAGAAGAGATAAAGAAAAGTTCCGCGCGTAGATAATTCACAGTTCGTAGCTAGTCTGCGTATCTCCCGTGGTAGCTTATTTCATAAACATCCTAAAATAACTTTCATCACATAACTATGTCATGAAGATACCAATGGTAACATCTTTTTCCTACAAAAACAGCACAAGAACAGATATTTTTTCAAAACAAAAGAGTCCGAGTTCTAGCATAATTCTCGCAAAACGACCAAAAGAACCTGCCGATCTCCGATTAAAATTACGCTTAAAAGATGCGACAGAGCTGGCGGCGTATTCGACGGATAGAGACCGCAGCGGGAAGTAACGCGCAAAGGAAAGGGTAAAATTTTCCGGTGGAAGGAAAAAGTGGGAAACACCGGTGTTCGGGATCTTTCCATTGTCCATAAGTTCTCCTTCTCCGCGTCGGTTTTCCCCTCTTAGCTAGGGGCTTGTGAAATCCTGAATAATTGATACGATTACAAAGTTCCATGTCGACGATACAAGAAACAACATGGCCACGACAATCCGGCAACAACGTTGGAGAACGTCTGCGCCTCGGTACCGTTCGCGGATTGGTCCACGTTTGGTGCTCCCTTCGGGCAGCCGGGGTGTCGCGGTGGCACGGCAGGTGGCAGCCCTCCGTGACCGACGGGGACGGGGACGGAAAAGGGAGAAAGAGGAAGGAACGTCGACGAAGAAACCAACCCCTCGGGGCCGGCGATCGAGGGTCAGCCGACTCGCTAGTTCCGTTAGTTTCCATCGATACCGCGTGCCCTTATCACCGACACGCCGATTCCTGTTTGCGAACTATCGGCGAGCTCGCGCCTCACCGTGATTACTTTGGATAACACGCGTGGCTAAATACCGGGCCTCAAGGTGAGAATCTGCCTAATCGGTTGCGACCTGTTCACGCGAGATTCCTCCCGGCGCGCATCTTTGGTGACGAAACGAAACCGGCACTGCGACCACCCGCGCGTCGCGATTCGAACGTTCCGTTCTCTGTGAATGTTTAGCATCTCCTTTGTTCGTTGACAGTGGGTGATCGAATTATTGTCGGCACTTCGAGGGTACGACTTTGTTCGCTGTATCAACGAGAATGGAGTTCGACCGATCTATCATGCCGCCCTCCTTAGTTAAATTATCGCAACCGACGTTTCTGGTGATCCAAAAAAATGAAGCTTTAAATTAGTAAAATCATTTTTAAACAAGCCGAAACAAATAAATGGAATCACATTTGGAACTCCGTCAAGTATATTGAATATTTTGGCTTTGTTTGAAAGGTAACGCGATGTTTCAAATATTTTTAAATATCCCGAAAGAGGTGGCAATTTAGTAGATAAGACATTTTAACTAAGGACGGCAGCATCTGTCAACCTCTTAAGCGGCTAGTCCTTGACAATCTCGAAATTGCGTAATTTAATAACATTCGTTATCAATTTAATCGCGTCCAAATGAAATATTTTGCACGGTATTTTATTTTAACGATTTTTCTCACTTTTCGTCGAATAAAATAACTTCGTTACTAAGCAAACCAATTAATAACAGCAAAAAGTGATAAGCAATTTTAGCCCAGATTCTTGAATCTTGCGGATCACTTGAGGAGTTAAATTACATACAGAATGTTTCATTATCGCTATTTTGTCTAGTGTAATGTACGCTTGAAGGATGCACGAAGATCATCTTTATTGTTTTCAATGGATTCATATAATTTTTTATGTACGATTCGTCGCACCCCGTAACTCTGAATAAAAATGTATTTTAATATATTTTAATTGTAGTATCGTGAACACCTATTTATTTGTACGTAAGTGAACACTCGCGTAGTATTCAATGACACGTGGTGTTTTTAATGTTTTAGTGTTGCTTTAGGGTGTAGAGGATAATGATATAATTGCAATAATTTATATCTTGCAATATTTCATTAAAAAAAAAAACGTTAAAACAGTCGAACAGTAAACATCAAATATACATATATTAATATGTCTACAAATGCTCGAGTACGTTACTTTGCACATCAATACATTTTTTGAAACATCGCTTAATATTCATGAGTACATAATGGCACATTCGTGTGTACATACTTCCAGAGTCACACTTCTGAATGCATTAAGTATTCTCTCCTTCATATCTTCAATACTTGTCGGCTAACGACTAAAAGCATTTTCCTTCGTGTAACCCTATAAACAAAATTGCGATATTAAAATCAAAATATATCGCAAAATAATAGTTTTTTGACATAAATAAATTAATACATTTCTATTCACAATTCCGAAGTGCATCGAATCGTGCACAAAAGAAAAGAATCGTGCTTCCATTGAAAAGAATTGAGACGATCTTCGTGTGTCCTTCAAGTGCACACTTGCAAACAAACTAGCGACACTAGCTTACGCCCCTATCGAATAATAGAAAAAGATTCGTATGAAATATTTTCTCAAATAACGAATAGCCCTGGAGATAATTACATGTAGTGAATAAAATCTTTTTTTCTTTTTCTTTTAATATCTTTGTACTAGTCTTTGTACTCTTTTACAGTTTTTGTATGATATTAATATATGAGATATTATTTCTTACATTTGTTGTTACTTTAGTCACTATATTTGATTCAGTTTGATATTAAATTGTATAAATAATATACAATAAATATATATTAACGAATAAAAGTGAATAAAAATAAGCGTACAATTGACTACGGCTGAAGTCACTAATAATTTAATTAACCATTATGGGTTTTTTTTTCGAAATGTCGAAAAAGAGATAGAAGAAATAAATCTGAGATTATAAAAAAATATATCGTTCATCACGTGTTTTCACTTTCGTGACATTATTGCATAAAGTTCTTGATATTAATTCTTATTATTATTATTACTATTATTATTATTATTATTATTATTATTATAACAATTTTTTACATTGCAAATATTTTGTTCAGTTTCCACAATGGTCTCACTACATCGCATGTTTTTCCAAAATTACTTCACAGCAAGAACTAATTATTTCTTTTATTGAAACTACGCGGATGCTTTGCAATAAATGTTTGCTATCGTGTTATGAGAAAACCTATGCCAAAATGTACTTTAGTGTTTCTTGCTTCAAGTTTTATACTTGCTAATAGTTGTACTATTTTTCGTTGCATTACAATAGTTATTATTTTAAATTTTTGTAAGTTTTATATAGCAATTATTATTATATAGCAAAATAATATCCTATATTTTATAAAATTTTATCCTAAATAACATTTTTATCTACACAATTTTGTTCTACATTTTACAAAATTTTATTTTATCTTTTAGTCAATATTTTATTTCACCAGTTTCTAACCATTCTGTACAACATAGATCTATCATTATTTATGTTGTCCGATGATTGTTTCTGAAAGAGTTTTAAAGTAACTTGAAGTGAATGTAATTTAAAATGTTTAGAAGTACAACTAAAGTTGCATAAACGAATTAACAGCAGGAGTTAAATATCGATTGGGTCATAGGTAATTTCTGTCGCAGATGATGAATTTCAAACAACAGGGGCTGGTCGCTGACCTGGCGCCGAACATCACGTTAATGAAAGTTAGCGGTCACTTTCTGTTCAATTACTACAACGACAGTTCTTCGAAATTCATACACAAGATCTTCTGCATTGTAAGTGAAATCCATAGTTTATTATATGCCACGCGGCTTTAAATAATAGAACTCGAAATGAAAATCCAAACTGACACCGCTAATTCGTTAATTTCAACATTCCATAAATATGCTCCTTTCGAACGAACTAACACAATATTTACGAGCTTCAATATTTAACAATTTGGTAACAATTCTTCGCGTTAAATGAAAGATAGTTATCTCTTTGAATTCAGAATACTTGAGCTTTCTCAGCTATGCTGAGAAACTTATACATGATTGTGTTTAATATTTTTTGTATATCAAAAAGTTGCGGATCTGCTCGTCAAAACGTAAGAATTCTGTCGCGTCAACCCCTAAATAATTTTCCGTACGTGTCATCGCAGAACTTCAAATCAATTTTCGAATTTGTTTTCACACGATTGTGTGGAGAAAATTGACGTCATTCAATTCTCTTGAATTTAATTTCATTGAGTTCATACGGTTTCCGACTGTTTTTTGTTAATTTCATATACCTGTGCATGTCACAAGTGTGAACGTTAATGGATTAATACGTTAAGCGCCAAAAATAAACCACAAAAATTCGCGCAAAATCATAATAATTTAATTAATGAAACTGAAACTAAAAAGTTAAAATTCATCGTAATAGATGGTAATAGAATTCTTATGCATTCTAAACATCCTAGTAAAATGCACTTTTGCCGAATACATTACGATAAAAATGAATTTTGAAATCTAATCGAAAGTTAGTGTTGCCCATATGTGACCAACGCGGCACTCAACGTGTTAATTGTGTGTCGTTCAGTTAAAATGTGAAATTTCTTGAATTCTATTCTCGGCTTGAATGATCCTCAGGTACACCTCGTCCTGATTCTCCTCCAGTTCGTACTCTGCGGTATCAATCTCATGCTCGAGAGCGACGACGTCGATGTACTGACAGCGAACACGATCACGATGCTCTTCTTTACGCACACGATGGTCAAGATGGTTTATTTCGCGGTTAGGACTAAGCTCTTTTACAGAACGTTCGCCATCTGGAACAATCCCAACAGCCACCCTCTGTTTGCCGAGAGCAACGCTCGGTATCATCAGCTAGCTGTAAAGAAGATGAGAATACTGTTGATGGCTGTCATGGGCGCGACGGTGTTGTCCACGATTTCTTGGACCACCATCACGTTCATCGGTGATTCGGTGAAAAAGGTCACCGATCCTGTCACCAACGAAACCTCCTTCGTCGAGGTAACAGTTAATAACGTTAACCATAACCAAATGGAACGTCCCGTTTTATCTTAATGGTAGACCGCAGATTTTATGCATAACAAAAAAATAAGCGCAATTTCAAACAATTGGAAAGATGACAGAAATTTAAGGACATCGATGCATTAATATTTTCATTTTCTCCTCGTTCGTTGCATACGATGCATCAAATTTTTATTATGCATAAATGTTTCCTTCGGAAAGATAAAATTATGTAACAAGAAAAACAGAGTTGTGTGCCAATTCAATTTCACAATTTATTGACACGAAATTCAATTATATAATTCAAACCTTTCAGTTGATTCAATTGCTAATTATTTCAATCACGGGTATAATTCGAATATAATGCAATTGGATTACGATGTAATCGAAATCTAGTTTTTCAAATTACAGTCCAAATTAAATTGGTAATAGAAGTATTTTTTAATGCTACTTTAATTGCAGTACGAATTACATTGTCATTTAATCCAATGAAAATTTGCACAACTCTGCAATAAAGTGGGTAAATGAATCTATCTCTTCATTGTATTGTTTCAATTACAAATCAGTTATATTACGACGAAACATTCTCTTTTATGGAAGCAATACGAATTTTCCATTTGGTTCGATCGATTTAGCTACGAATTAATATTTTGTCTACATTTTTACTTATAGCAGAAATAATGGTCCTAAATAAAACCGTCCACGTCGAACGAATTATTTGCAGGATCAAGACGATCGTTTTCTTTCTGTTTGACTAGGTGCCAAGACTCATGCTTTACTCTTGGTACCCGTTCAATCCCAGCCACGGAATGGCTCACATCCTGACGCTTATATTCCAATTTTACTTTCTGCTCTTCTCCATGTTGGACGCGAATCTTTTCGACACGCTTTTCTGCTCGTTCCTTCTGTTCGCTTGCGAGCAAATCCAGCACCTGAAGAACATCATGAAGCCGTTGATGGAGTTCAGCGCTACGCTGGACACTGTCGTGCCAAACAGCGGTGAATTGTTCAAAGTAAGTTCGTGTTCGGTCATTATTTTTCATCGACTCTATATATTATTTATATAATATTTATATAATATATATATAATATATATAATTTATATATAATTTATATAATATTTATATAATATATATAATATTTATATAATATATATATATAATATATATAATTTATATATAATTTATATAATATTTATATAATATATATAATATTTATATAATATATATATATAATATATATAATTTATATATAATTTATATAATATTTATATAATATTTATATATTATATATATAATATTTATCTGTTGTATGCAAAACGTACACGAGAAACAGTATACTCGATACGAATAAAAATTTATTTAAATTAATAATATAAATTAGTTCGGACGTTGTAGCGTCTCACAATTTTTATTTGGTGAAATATTTAAACGTCGACGAAATTGGGGCAACAACAATCATTTCGAAGTGTTACAGATAATTACGTCACCTCACCTTTTAAATGTCAGTTCTATTAAATATATTTCACGTTATTAAGGGGTTTGTATCAAATCAGCGTTAGTATCAAATTATCTTGATTAACACCATTCGACCGACAACGATTTCGCCGACGGTGAAATCACCGACATTGACTTTATGTTTACCTGCCATCGATAGCCATTCAGTACGATTATCAAGTAAACATAAAGTCAATGTCGGTGAGACGAGTGTCGACAAAAACATCGACGGCGATTTCACCACGTCGCCGCAAACCCTTATTAAGTCGCCGCAATTTTCTTTTCATCTTTCTTTAATTATTATACTTTTACTTGTAACAGCTAGACCGTAGATATTCGTGTTGTTAACACGTTCCGTGCCACGTGTACCATCGATGGTACACGCTTGCATGTTTACTTAGTGAACTGAACAAATTGTTTACAAGAAATTTAGAACCGAAGAATCAATTTCCACCGCAAGAATGGGCGTTGATAAGTTTTTGTTACGTTGTTATGTGTACGAGAATTAATAATTGCACGTAATACATCAAGTTTTAGTAAAATATCAAAGTGTGAAGATTCGAGTAAAAAAAGCTCGGCACGGAACGTGTTAAATAAAACCCTTCAGCATCGATTGCAAAAACAAATAGATGAATCTTCGTTGGTATATATTTTTAATGCTCCGTAGAAAAAAAATGAGTTGCACTTAACAAAATGCTCTAAATATAAGAACTATCCGTTTCGTTAGAAAGGTTGCTTTATTATTAAAATTATTTCCCGTTAGGCTAGCAGCGCGAAGCAGGTGGCGGAAATCGATGCGCCACCGCCAGTCACACCAGCGAACAATGACAGTATGTTGGACATGGATCTTCGAAGGATTTATAACAATCGGCAAGATTTTACGGCGACCTTCCGTGCAAACGCTGGGGGACAGTATAACGGAACCATCGGGCCGAACGGATTGACGAAGAATCAAGAAATGCTGGTTCGGAGCGCCATCAAATATTGGGTGGAGAGGCACAAGCACATCGTCAGGTGAGCAATTCGACTTACCTTAATCGTTGTGTCATCCGTCATTGTCGGAATCTACTTTTTCGTGTTCACGCTTCGAGAGTCACAACGATAGATCGATGTTTACTTTATCGTTGCTTTTATGGCTGGCTCGACTATCAAAATAGTGTTCGTTTGAGAAACTTATTTTTCATACGACTATTAAAAATATCAGCCATATTCTTAATTCTTCGTTTTACATATTTAATCTCCTCTTCGCCATGCTGTTTCATATTAGATTTATATTGATTATTGTGTCCAAATGTTGTTAAATTTTAGCGACGATCTTTAGACATTTGGCAACTTGTGAATAATATCTTTAGAAAATTAGAATTGAATATGATATCGACAAAAAGCGAACGGTATGAAAATTTTCAGAGGTGGAATTTCAAACATGCAATTTTTTTTAAAGATTTTAAAATTGAATCAATGAACTCACGATATATTTTTCTATGCGAGGATTTTATGCATTTATAGGAAAAATGAGTAGGTGTAACTTAAAGTAGTAGTAAAATTTAAACAATCGAAAGATTCTAATACGTCATTTTCAACTTATCAAACTTATTAAAGAACGATGGAAATACCTAAGTGGCTTCTGTTTCTTGCAGCGGATGCAGAACATTTTTATTTTGCATAATAATCCGTGGCATAATGGTAATTGTGCGATAGTCTCTGTCTAATTTTCGATTATTATAATTGCTTAACTTTTATGCTTAGGCCTCGACCAAAAATGATTCACGAAAGACAATTCTATCTATTAATACTACGAAATCCCTTCACGAAAAGTTCCGGCAACTTGTTCGATCAGAGTATCGAAATGACGGCCAGGTTTTATATTGCTCAACCGAAAATAAAGTTTCGGAAATTGCTGGCTAATTCACAATTAGCAGGCTTAAATTACGGCACGTCGCAATTTCGAAGTTCGTCACCATGACGGACGCCTTGACGACGGTATAACCTAGTTTCCCATTTCGATTCCCAGTCGGAGTTCACTTCTACATGGAAACGTAATCTACGACGACAATGAGAAGTCCCCTCCGCTTTCGCGAACCTAACAATGAGAGACTTCCATTAGGATAATAATCTCTGCCAGATGGAAACGTGAATATGCTAACTTTATTACACCGTACACTTTCGCGTTTGCTATCAAAATACTTTGTTGTGTCGCGAAACCGAGACGTTTGTCTTTCGAGTTACAGTAAATTCTCCCTAATCGACGCCCAGATTGTGCGCAAAAATGGACTATTTGAGAAGAGGAGATACGATTATTCGAGCCTTGTGTCTCGTTTTTATAGTTGTTGACAATCGGTAACATGTATTTCTGTACGAAACGTTTGAAGATGTTTCTATTAGAATTGATCTCGACATCTTTTGTCGAAATGCGATACGATTTGATACGACATAACATGAAGGACAAATTAGCATTGCAAACTTTGAAGAATTATGTTTTTTCTATGATTTGTTAGAGTAATTATTAGAGTGCCCAATTATACGCATGAGGCACTTTATAAAGAATATGTGTAGCATATTCGATATTATGAATTGATACGATATAACATGGAGGACAAATTAGCATTGCAAACTTTGAAGAAATATGTTTTTTCTATGATTTATTAGAGTAATTATTAGAGTGCCCAATTATACGCATAAGGCACTTTATAAAGAATATGTATAGCATATTCAATATTATGAATTGATACGATATAACATGGAGGACAAATTAGCATTGCAAACTTTGAAGAAATATGTTTTTTCTATGATTTATTAGAGTAATTATTAGAGTGCCCAATTATACGCATGAGGCACTTTATAAAGAATATCTGTAGCATATTCGATATTATGATTTTATAGGATATAACATGAAGGACAAGTTAGCATTGCAAACTTTGAAGAATGATGTTTTTTCTATGATTTATTAGAGTAATTATTAGAGTGCCCAATTATACACATGAGGCACTTTATAAAGAATAGTAGCATATTCTTCAATATAAATCACTAAAACATTTCGCATCAACAAGCACTCGAACATTCTTTTTGAGTTCATTGACCCGTAAAATACTGTAGCAGCTTTACATAATGCTAATATTTTCTCTAACTGTACAAAGTGAAAATTTCATTTAATGCTGCTGTAATACGATTTTTAATGCGTCGTTATATTTGTTTATTTTTTGACAAGCGACGTTGCATTCGAAAAGCAGTTCAAAACATCGTTTATTGTTCAACTGTTTATCGTTAACTTCATTGTTTCACAAATGTGTCGGCACTGTGCCGATATTGTAGTACGCATAGTTCATAAGGTTAACGACTGTATCCAGCGGAAGTTGCACCTTCGATAAATAATTCAATAACAGAAATTTCCGGCGGTTGAACACTCGCGCATGGAAAGTCAATATTCTGTTTACTGGAGGTTTTACCTCGTATCTAGCAACACAAATGGATTTTTAAGCTCCTTCGGCTTCCGTGATCGATTCTATGCAAGACTTCACGGGTTGCGAACACATTACGTACACCCGCGCAAGCTTGCGTTATTATACAGCCAGCAGAATTTCATTTCTGTCGCGGACGAACTTCTTCAAGGCCACTGGTATTTTTTTTTTGGCGGACGTTAGAGCGATTAACGTATGCTCGCAAGTCGACCTTGAGGCGACATTGCATATGGAAAAAAGCGATTCTATGCTTAGACCTACAGCCGGTGCTAAAGTTTATCGGCTTTTAAAAACTGATTAATTAAAAACTTGGTAAAACTCTGTTTTATGAATCAAGCTAATGACTGCAAAACTACAATGACGTTCTGTTATGCTCTTCTATACTTTAACTATAAAATCTTTATGTATAAAATCTATCGATCACTCTATGTATAAATAATAATCATTCTATGTAATAATTAATTTTTAACTCTATGTATAATTAATAATTAAATTTATTTGTGTACTTAATAATTAATTAAGTACACTAATAAATTTAATATTTTTATATAATTTTATACAAATTTATAACTTTCATTATAGATTAATGTATAATTTTTAAATCTGTTATAAATTTATATACAATATAAAATTCGATTACAAACTTCTATGATTTCATTTATAAATTTAGAGGTCACTTTATGTTTTTTAAATTCGTATCTCTTAAAAAAATATGTGTGAAACGAAATCAAAATCTACAGTTCATATTCTGTTTGGATTTGTCTTATTTCTTTTTGTTCAAACAACTATAATTTTCTCTCTCGTGAAAATCCATGATCCTGTTTTTAGAAACGCTGTAATTCGAAAACCAGTTTTCTCCATTATATTTTGTCATTTCTCTGAAGAGAAGAAATGATTTTTAAAAGTGCCGCTCTAGTTCGAACTGCGAAGTTCTTCGCGTGAAATCAGTAAATCTCCAGAACAGACCACACGAATATCGATAAAAACCGATGTACACGAAATTGCCCAAAAAAGCAAAATCACAACGAAAGATAAAATCGACAAAACGTTGCCAACGAGTCTGGAAGTTGCCGCGAGATGGTCGATTAAAAAGGTGGAAATCGGATTCAGCCGGTTCAAAGGACGGAGAATCTTTGAAAACAGCAGAAACAGATAAGAGTCGGCACGGTCGTCTAAGGCTCGAACTAAATTTCAGAGAAAACCGAGGCGCATCGCGCGGTGTTTCCTATAGATTCTTCAGTAACGGAGAAACCGGGGGATGCGTGTGTTCCCACGGTGGTGAAGTATTTATTCTAAGAGAGCGCGATATTGACCGCAACTGGGGACGTACGGTGTGGACTGGACAATTTATTGGACAATTCAGAGGTTGTACGTTCACGTTCACGTGAACGCCGGCATACATGTCTAACACGTGTACTCGCACGTTCCTGTTTTTTTCCCCTTCGCGGACGACGGATACCGGTCGAAACGCGAATGACGTTTACCCTTAGATCTCAACGCGGGACACCTCGGACAGGGATGCCGTTTCGAAGTATGAACGAAAACCTGTTACTGCACCTGTTACCGTGATAAACACGGAACTTAGTCACGTAGGTTCCGTTGAAAGTAAAACCAAATAAAGGAAACTGAAAGTAAAGGAACCGGTTGCACGCAATCGAACGCTTTACCGAACGGAGACCTATTTGTAGGGTTTTGAATGACCGCATCTTAGACAGGGAAGCTTCGGGGACATTTTTGACATTCACACTTCGGTCTGTAATCGTAATTTTACAAAGTCGTTTCAGTGCTTTGTAGTTTATTATTTAACTGTTTGGGTTTTTGAAGATTCTAATAAATTCTAAAATATTCTTTCACGTCCCTAGAACATCGTTTAGTAATCTTTATTGTCACATGTTATCTAAATTTTTCGGAGTGAAGCAAAATTTTAACAAACGTATGGGAAGAATGAAAAATTATTTAAGAGTTTACAACTGATATTTTGGATTTGTTCTTTTGGATTTTTACGTTACCAGGGTCGTTCTTCGAAGATAGAAAATATAATAGTTCTTTATTCTGCAATACTTGTGAAAGCAATACAACTTTTCCGTTATGTGTTTTTAAACCGTTTAATTTTTTAAATAATCGTTCAATTAAAATACACAATTTGTATCGATCTCGAAATATTTCAAAAATAAAATCTCTTCTCTCTCTCTTACGGAAAGCATTACAAAATACTAATTTGGTATTACTAAAGTGTTCTAAGATGATTGATTGGAATTTTATTCCAAATAAAAATTATTTTCATCAATTGTAACAAACATGAGTCGAATAGAAATTTCTTTCTTTTTTTAATAATTTTAGTGAGATGAAAATAATACATAGATGTCCCTAAATTTCTTTGATACTTTCATTACTTTAAATTTCATTTTTGTCATAAATAAATAAAATCCGCTAAGATAAATAAATATATGATAAATATCGCAATAAATAAATATTATATTTTTTCTTATTTCAGGCTGGTTACTGCAGTTGGAGACGCGTATGGTATCGCTTTACTGTTACACATGTTGGCTACCACCATTACATTGACATTGCTGGCTTACCAAGCTACCAAAGTGAGTAGTCGTATAAAAACTAAAATAAACATCGACTGTACATAATATGACAAATAGTGTCAGACATTGTAAATATCTTTTTCAACTGTCTCAACCTACTTCAGAAGAAACATAATTTTTTTACGTATCTCGTAGATCAATGGAATTAACGTGTACTCGGCCTCGGTAATTGGATATTTGCTCTATTCTCTTGGTCAAGTATTCATGCTCTGCATATTTGGAAACCGTCTAATTGAAGAGGTACGTAAAATTGATAATAAAGTTTGCCATTTTTCTGAACTCTTAAGTGCACTTTCCAGATGGATATAAAAAATGCAACAATTCAATCAATGTATTTCACATCCACTCTTACTGATTTGGTGAATAAAAAGCAAAGAATGTACGATAAAAATTTATTAAAATTTTTAAACGATTACATCAATATATTAAACAATTCTGTGGTTGTTAGGAAAGACACGCCAATAAATAATTGGATTATGAGATTCATCTCATAAATTTTACTAATAATATTATTGTACTATTACATATTGCTCTTTTAATGATGACAATAAAATTAGTTAAAAAAATGTCATTATTACTGCAATTTCAGAAGATATAAATTATACTTTTTACTCCATATTATCATAGTATTCGCACAAAAGCATTCTTGTTCGATAAGACATAAGACTAAACGCATTTGTTTAAATCGTTTACTGTTATCTCTGTTAGTAATAAAAATCTTAATTGTCATACAAATCAGAAATAATATAAATTGATATCTAATTTTAAAAAAAAACGGAGGAACATAACTAACAAGAAGAATTAATGTTATTACAGAATATTTTTATTGCAACCACAAAATTATCAGCACAAATTAGAAAATGGAAGATGCAATAGAAGTTTACTTAAACCTTCATTAATAATATATAAATACATACATCGATATATGTATACTAATTATTACTATTTTAAGAATTACTAGTCTAAGTCTGCATAAATCCGTATCAATCTTAATTGTGCCATTAAGAATTACAAAAATGTGAAACATATTAAAACGTATTGATCTTTGTACGCAGAGCTCATCGGTGATGGAAGCAGCTTATTCGTGCCACTGGTATGACGGTTCAGAAGAAGCGAAAACGTTCGTACAAATTGTGTGTCAGCAGTGTCAGAAAGCGATGTCAATTTCGGGGGCGAAGTTCTTCACGGTGTCCCTAGATCTCTTTGCTTCGGTAAGATCACGTATTTCGATTATAAAATCTTTCAAACGACTCGTATTACAATATTTTAAACAGTCTGCGAAGATAATAAATGTAGAACGTTGCAAATGATCTTTGCTATCGAAGCAACGAAAAATCTTAACGCTAAATCTATCGTGCCGATCAAAACGACCAGTTTCACATTTTGTTAATATTAAAATTGTTGAGATAGCCTACGTTATAATAAAAATGGCAAAAAATCTATATGAACTCAACTTTTACGTTTTTATGAATAGACCTAAGCATATTTAAAATGATATTATTTGAAATATCATTCTAAATAACACGTTACTTTATTTTACAATTATTTGAAATAATTACAAAGGTAAATTCAATGTCCGGGACTGGTTTACATCTTTTTGCTTGTGGATTATTTGCTTTAAATAACTTGTTGTGAAAATAACATAGAATAAAATCTTTTCGCTGATTATTATTTCATAAATTATTTCTTTGTGAAGGGACCGTCGCTTTAAACAAATTGTTATGAAGATCTTTTTGTTCATTATTATTTCCAGCATTATCTCTTTTGGCCAATTTGAAATAAAGAAATAATGAAATAATTCATTGTTTGAAATCCGTTTATCTCTGATAAATCGATATTACCTTTATTTTCAAATAAATTATTTCAAACAGTTGCTTTTTATATTTTTATTTCAAATGCTCAGGTCTGTTTATGAAACGACGCGCGCCAGTCGCTTTCAGTCCTCGATAGATTTAGCGAGAAGAAAGAAATACAAAAAAATCTACGTAAAAACTGCGAAATTTTCCAGGTATTGGGAGCTATGGTGACCTACTTCATGGTGTTGGTGCAACTGAAGTGAACACCACGGGCTAACTGCTTTGTGGATGAATGTGAGAGTTGGAGTGCTCGAGTATGCATGGTTACCGTTGTCAAGCTCGAATTTTGTATTTCGTGCGTAGCAATGACTTTCATAGAAGATCCCGATGATTCCGAATGGAAAATGAGACTGTGGAATACTTTGAGATTGTAAATTACGAGAAGTCTTGATCGTTCAAATAGCATTGTACGCGGAACCATAAGATACACTGACGTACCAGAAAATCGCGGTGCGACGGGAGAAGAGTTGACTCCTCGAGGAAAAGTAAGTCGATTATGTGCAGAGGGTCCGGCAAGTCGTGTGTCAATAGCTGTGAACAAATGCACGTGACGATCATTTCTGTGGAACCATTCAGGCAGAATCGGCCTGGTCGTGTTTAGCACGCCGATGGTTTATCCATGCTCATCCGCGTAAACTTGATTCATTAGGCAATCGAATTTCTTCGATTCGAAACGTTTTCTTGATCGTAAGTTATTTCATTTCTACAGAAACAATCGCCTCTTTTTCAGCTACACGTTCGAGTAGGGTCTTGTGTTGAATTAATCATAGTGAAAAAAAGCCAGACTTCCGCGAGCCTCTGCTAGGAGATTAGGATCAGAGATGGAATCTTTCTTTACGCGAGTCTAAAATCCGAGAATAGTGACACTGAATTCGGAATGAGGCGATTCCTTCTGAAAAAATAACTGAAATTGTAGAATAATATTTGCCGAGTCAAACGAGAAACGGGAATTGAATGTGCGATAGAAAGAAGGGGTTAATTTCTGTTCGAAGCTGCAATGCAAGACTTAACGTCGACCGACGAAGGGTTAGCGTTTACAGTAATCTCTCCCTAATTGTCGCCCAAATTATGCACTAAAATAGACAATTTGGGAAGAGGAGACGCGATTATTCGAGCCTTGCGGCTCGTTTTTTATAATTACCGATTGTCAATAACTATAAAAACGAGCCGTAAGGCTCGAATAATCGTGTCTCCTCTTCCCAAATCGTCCATCTTTGTGGACGATCTGAGCGTCAATTAGGGAGACATTACTGTACTCGGAAAGAAGATTGCAATAATAATATCTTTCGTTACGTTTAACACGTTCCGTGCCACGTGTACCATCGATGGTACACGCTTGCATGTTTACTTAGTGAACTGAACAAATTGTTTACAAGAAACTTAGAACCGAAGAATCAATTTCCACCGCAAGAATGGGCGTTGATAAGTTTTTGTTACGTTGTTATGTGTACGAGAATTAATAATTGCACGTAATACATCAAGTTTTAGTAAAATATCAAAGTGTGAAGATTCGAGTAAAAAAAGCTCGGCACGGAACGTGTTAATGCGTATTGTGTTGACACAATGATGATTCATAACCGTAAGTGGTAATTCTAACGTAGACTTCTTTAAACGGCATTGCATACAACACCCAAGGAAAACAATGCATGGGGAATATTACGCTGACAGAGAGTTTTACTTGTGCTTATTTACCGATCTACCGAGATGTACAATATACTGTGATGTAATTACGAGAGCTTAATTTATTAAACGAAGGATTAAGATGCAACGAGCGTAGTTCGTGTCGACTTCCTAAATCGTTGACTTCGCGTAACAAATTTTTATACTGGTATATACGTCTATATACTCTACCCTAGATATATACATAATAATTAGACTGTGGGTTTTTTTTAATGCAAAATAAGAGATACCGGAGCTCCGTAAAGATTCGTTTCGTTTCGTAATTATTTGAATAACTTGAAACCAGTCCAACGGTATTTCGAAATTCTTTAGATGTTTCCACTGTTTTATATTTGATCAATTCATTTTTCTAAACCATAAAATCCGCAGTCTGATAACAACAATCCGGGAGGACCAATATTTCTGTAAAGCGATTCACTGACCGATTTATCGAGCAGGAATACGGAACGTATTGCATCTTGATCATTCGGTAGACTTTTACGGGAACAGAAAAAGTCGTTCTATCAACATGTAAATAAACACTTATATATTATATTCTTTCATAAAGACAATCGGTAAGTCTGAAATACGACGGTGTACCATAGTGGCCTTGATTTGACCGTGACTATTAGATGTCTCTCAATGAATTTTAGTGGAAGCTACGTTTCGTCGAAACAACTTTTAAATATACTTGATTGTTCTCTACGTATGTACGATAATACGTTAACATGTTTCCGATCGTTTTAGAGGATCGAACGTTGTACCGCATCGATCATTCTTCTGCATTGTAATTTCGATATTACGGACCGATTGATAATGGTGCAACGCTTATCTGCCTGTCCTCGTTCTAGAGAGTTTTATCACGCGATGATAGATAACGAAGATGTTTAGGTGTTCTCATTTAAATGTCCTACTCTTTATAACTGGAATCACGACTTTTATGACCTTAAACGGAGCCTGTCCTCTAATTAGTACTCTATCGTCCACGATGGACAGATATTCACGACCCAGTTTTCTTATGTTTTCAATACTAATGAAGCGCTCGTTTAAACGGACAGACAGCGGGGCGCTATATAATTATCTGTAATAAAGAAAGTCGAAAACTGAAATTGTTACCCGCTACCGGCAGAACAGTCTCGTCTAATTAAACGTCGATGAATGGTCCTACCATATCTTTCTTGTCTCGTCTTGTATAGTACATATTTGTATTTTTACTCTTCTTTTCTCGAAGATACGTATCGATAAATCTTAAGGTGACTCACAAGTAACTAAATACAATGTAATGATAAAGCTGGCAACATTATCTTGTCTTTTAATTGAAAAAGAATCATTCACGATACACGGTACTTATCCGCCGTTTGTTTACAAGTACAAGCATTTTCGATAAACACTTTTACATATTTCACATAGTATAATTAATTTTTATAATAATACAGATTTTATCATAGCTCTAAATATCTATTGTAAGTATCGCCATGTATAATTTTAGTTACATCGCAGCAATGTGAATGAGAATACATTAGTTAATATATAATTATTAGCGATACGCGATCATATTTAGAAGTGAATCTTCAGTATTATAGATAAATTTCTGTCTATGTAAAACTGTAATATATCTATCTTTTAAAATCTTCTAAATATTAACGGTCTTCTTTTTCTGTGAAACACGACCCCCTTTTTCGCGATTAAACGAATCCCAGGTTGAACGGCGACATTAATGTGTTTATTTTTCAATTAACACGCGCCATTAAGACGACGGAGAACCGCTCCAGTGGCCAATTAGCCTCGTATGGCAGCAAAAGTGTTAAATCTTGTTTCCCTTAACCGTCAAAGCAAACTTCTAACCTTGCACAATTTTCGCCCTACCTTCATTAATCGTCCGCCAGTTGAACGCGCGTTGTGCTTACACAATACAGTAATGTCTCTCTAATTGACGCTCAGATTGTCCACAAAAATGGACGATTTAAGAAGAGTAGCCTTGCGAATTCGAGCCTTGCGACTCGTTTTTATAGTTACCGATTTTCAACAATTATAAAAACGAGCTGCAAAGCTCGAATAATCGTATCTCCTCTTCCGAAATTGTCCATTTTTGTCCACAATCTGAGCGTCAATTAGGGGCCACGGGATTTCCTTCCGAATCCAAACACGTGTGTGGATCCTTTGTCAAGTTTTTCAGACGCGATTCCATCGTGCCAACGCTGGCTAACGAATTTACCGCGAAAATGATTTACGAAACGGAAGGCAAGACAGAGAAAATAGGATGTGCGGACTACCGCGCATGCAAATATCTGCGTCACGCTCGTGCGGCGCATAAAAACGTCATAAAGGACGTTATGTCCTTTATAAATATAGCTGTTTATCCCAAAAGTCCGGATATTTGGCTGAAAAATTGGCCGGTAAATTCATTCGATCGTGAAATTTTATACGAAGCCATTTTGTCTCAACTTAAAAGTGCAGGAAATAAATAGGACACTCTTTGGTAGAGCCATCTTAGTTTACAAACCTAGCCGCTGAAACGATTTAATTTCCATAGTTAATTCTTGCACAACTTAATTTCTTTGGTTAATTCTCTGATTATTTATTTCCCTCAATTTTCTATAATTTCATTTCTATTCATTTGAATTCCGGTTCGATAGTTTGAATACTAATTTATCACCCTGATTAAAATAATATACTGTATCAGTCAGTTGGTAAAGCTGTTTAAGATATTTGTGGATTTCATTTGTAACATCTCTCTCGACAAAGATTCATACAAAGGCTGGATAAACTTAAGTAAACCTCTTTTTATTTATGAATTATGCAAGTTACGCAGAAAGTACTTTCTATTTAGTTTATATTTTTTGAAAGTGGTGCGGATAATTTTTAGTCGGATAGAGCTATATTATACGAGTAAACTGTCAGTTACAGTTCCTATAACAGTATACACAATTTAAGTATCTTGTATCATAAATTATCTCGACGATTTTAAATCCTTTTCAAATTGTTGCCCTGACGCTACCAAATAGTAAAACAGTTGTGATATATTAGCCTTTAAACATGTGCATCTATTGTACAAAATCAATTTAACATTATTCATTTCTACACCTAATAACACTCTTCCTACTGGAACACCAAAAAGTGCCCATTGCATTAACGTACTACGGTAAGTTATATTGCAATTACCTAGCTGCACAAATCCGTTTTTGATCCACTATAGCTTTACGCTAAACCTACCGAGTCCGAAACGTGACTGACGTGTGTTGCTTAATGACTAGACCGCGGATTTTGTGTATTTATGAGAAAAATGATAACGCGAAACAGGAAGAACATCAAGAGAATAAAAGAACACAGGCATGTTATTTTTAAAGAATGAAAATTATTAAGGATAAAGAGGTACATTTTTGGTCAACTCTCGTTTCTTGAAATTGAAGGAGAAAGTTTGTATTCGGTATAAAGATCCGCAGTCTATTAATGACGATGATAAGACAGAATTTATTTGGCCTTCCCGCAATTTTTATTATAATTTATTTAATCATCATAAATTACAAAATCTATTTAATCATTCCTTATACAAGAGTCCTTACAGATTCGACAACTTTAAAATTGAAAATATGAAAGCTTTAAAATTGAAAACATGAAACCTTTAAAATTATATGAAACGCTACCAAGTCAGAACAAAGAGAAACCAAACAAAG